ATTATTGCTTATTTTTTTGATTGTTTAATTGATTTGTAAAGATGATTTGTATAAGTTGATTTGTGTAATTGATGCGAACATAATTCTTATTTGTGCTTGTTTAATTGATTGAAATGTAATGGTTGATTTTGTTGATTTCAATCTGCATTATGTTGAAGGCAAAATGACTATCGCAATGCGAATGAAATCGCAATGCGAAATGAAAATCGCAATGCGGAAATGAAAATCGCAACGAGAGAATCGCAATGCGTTTATAATTTCGCATTGCGATTCTCTCGTTGCGATTTTCATTTCGCATTGCGATTTTCATTTCGCATTGCGATTTTCATTTCGCATTGCGATTCTCTCGTTGCGATTTTCATTTCGCATTGCGATTTTCATTTCGCATTGCGATTTTCATTTCGCATTGCGATTCTCTCGTTGCGATTTTCATTTCCGCATTGCGATTTTCATGTTGGGATTTTCATTTCGCATTGCGATTCTCTCGTTGCGATTGTAATTTCCGTGTTGCGATAGTCAAATGCATGCCTAATAGTGATAACAACTGAATAACAAGAGTTGGTTAAGTCAAAATGGTTGGCCAGAGTCATTAATTCACTGAAAATGTTAAAAGTTCACACATAAAATCCACATAATACAACGTTTGCATTTAAAAATCACCTAAGTTAACAGTCCCAAAAGGTGAAGCCAATTGTGATTGGGATTTTAAAGATGATTGCCTTTTGCTTGACACCATATGAGCTTTGGATTTTGATGAGGATCCATATTTTGGTAGAGGAAAAGATGATTTTGATGGCACTGGTGATCCACATGTCAACCTTGTATGACCACTTTCCTTGCACCGACTACATGTCGATCTCTTCTTCTCTTCACCCTTAGACGGTATACGATCGTGACTTTTTGGTCGGCCAGGTAGCCTTCTGTCCATGGCTGGTGGCAAAACTGTTTGTAAGTCATCTGGTATGTCCCACTCAGAAGGATGTGGAATAGGGTAGACAATCTCGGCATAAGTCTGTCGATAAACTTCTGTAGTGTAGCAATCCATAGCGTATGCGCTTGAATCATCTTGGTTTAAATGAAGAGCAACTTTTATAACATGGCCACACGGATAACCAGATGTTTGCCATTTCATACAACTACACGTCTTTGCATTTAGATCGACTAGCCCATTTAAGTTATTATCCAGTACTTGAAACAAAGTGTTTGAACATGGTTCAACTCTCCATGACGTTGACTTCACAACACGTTTCGTTATCTTTTTTTCAGTCCATGGTGTAACACGATGTTCCAATGTTCCTGTAAATTTAAATAAACAATACTTAGTAAAATATATAAATATGATAAGTTACGAATTCAAAGAAATAATACCTGCATGGTTTCTTTTCTTGTAGTACCACTGTTGAATAGAGGCTCGAAAAAACTCCATTAACATAGTAATGGGTAATTTCCGGGAATGACGACTTAGAGCGTTGATTGATTCTGCACTATTAACGTCATGAAACCATATCTTGCTCCAAGTTGATGTACTCTTGACCATCTTTCAAACCCGACATCTTCTAGTGTTTGAGCACACTGAGGCAAAACACGTCTTAAACAATTTATATGCTTATTGAAATCCACTTCCCGATAAGCTTTTACAGCCTTCCAGTATGTCCATTTGTGCTTTTTTATACCAGCAGACCTTGATTTTAGATTTCTATACAAATGAACACCACAAAGTCCATGAAAAGCATCTGGGAAACACCTTCTAACAGCGTTGTCAATTGAGTTTGCCCTATCGGATATGATTGTCAGATTGCTAATAGGACCTATGCAATCCCTAAGATGCCCCATAAACCATGTCCTGAATCAGAGGTTTCAGATTTGCCAACCCCGTAAGCTATTGGCATATCCCATTGTTAGCATCCATGGCTACTGCTAATAAGTTTACTCCAAGGTATCGACCTTTCAAATGTGCTCCGTCAACTATAATAACTGGGCGCATGCAAGTAATAAACGAACGAATCTACAAAATAATACACAAGAAATATAATCATTTAAATGTGAAATGCATGTAACTAACAAAAATGAGTCAACAAAATTATATTGATTTACTAACCGTAGCACCAATGGCGATAAACAGCAACTCAAAGCGTCCATCTCTATCTGTTTTGATATGAGTTACCGACCCAGGATTTTTCAGCTTTAAATTGTGACAATAAGCCGGCAGTTGGGCAAACGATGCTTCTGGCGACCCCCTCAACAATTCCAAGGCATAACATTTGGCTCTCCAAGCTTGAGAATATGATACTAATCTTGAATCGAGCATTCATGTCAGTCATAATTTCATGTCCCCGATATACCCTGCCATTCAAAAACATTAACTCAGCCAGAAAACCACCCAACACCTTTTTGTTTGCCTGTCTATGGTGAGGAAAAACTTGGGTTCTTGAACATGTATGTATCAATAAAAGTCCTAACTTGAAACACTTCACAATCTTTTATTCTCTTTGCAATCATACGCCACGTACAGTTTTTGTCAATCATACACCTTGTTTCGAAACGATCTTTGCTTGATTTGTTAACTTTTAGTTGATAGCCATCTTCCACACATTTCGTATACAAAGCTATCTTCAAGTCTTCCTTTGTATCAAAACAATCATCTTTCTTGATACGAATAACTTTTGTGTAACAATCAACTGCTTTCTTTACCAACTCTTCTTCCGGTATCTGAAGTAATTCTGGCATATTCCAGTTATACGCCCGTGGCATTTTCTTTTCTTCGGGGACTTTTTCTTCTTCTTTTTCTTCTTCAGGATTATATGAATTACAGAATGGATGTTCAACATGTTCATTCACAGTCGTAACTTCCTCCTCATTATCATCAACAATACATTCTTCGACAACGGCTGTTTCATCATCAAAATTCGGGTATTGACCAATATCAAATCATTACACGCAGGGTCTGTTTCTCTTCTGAAACATCATCAAAATCCGTTATTGACCAATATCAAGTCCGGATATTGACCAAGACCAAATTTCGAATACTGACTAGTACTCACAATTTTTTCTGTTGGCTCATCATCGTCTAACTGGTCAATACGAAAACCGGAATTTGGTGCTGAAAGTTGATTGGGATTTGGATTAGAGAAAGGTTGTGGGTTTTGAGAAAAACTTAGTTGATTACTACCCGCTACTGACCCAACAATACTACTTCTAGGTTCAACAACATACAATGTAACATCATCTTGTGAAACACTAATGTAAGCAATGAATCGTTCAACATCTTCATTGTCGGTTAACAAATAAACTTTACCATTTCTCTGATAAGATAGCCTAAATCCACTTAGGGGCTCTAAATTCAATTTATTTGAAACACGTAGCATTAGAGTTTCATAAGTTAACTTTTGTAAAGACAATTTTAGTTGAAGATTCATGGGTAAAGGCATATATTGTAAAACCCATGAACATTATCCCATGACCCTCCAAAACACAAATCTATCCAAACATGATCAACATTAGATGATTTCATGGTTGTAAATTAATTTACTAAACAGACGAGCTGCGAAACTAAAACCTGTTGCCGGATTGGGAAGGATGTCGTTGGATATAGGAACGGATGTCGCCGGAGAGAGTGATAGATGGAGATGGAATGAGTTGCGATTTAGGGATTTAGTTTATGATTTCAGTGTTATATACCCAAAATTTCAGTGTTGTGATTTACAGATTCTCGTTGCGATTTACGGATTATCGTTGCGATTTACAGATTCTCGTTGCGATTTACGGATTATCGTTGCGATTTACGGATACGCGTTGCGATATACGGATACGCATTGCGATTTACCCATACGCGTTGCGATTTACGGATACACGTTGCGATTTACGGATACGCGTTGCGATTTATGTGTTCGCGTTGCGATTTTCATATTCGCGTTGCGATTTTGGAAAATCGCAATGCGAATTTGTACTATCGCATTGCGATTTTCAAGAATCGCGTTGCGATTTTGGAAACTGATTTGCGATTCTGGGGATCGCGTTGCGATTTTGTTGGTCATTTTGGCAAATCCAAAAAAAGTTGGTTAAAATCGTATATTATAACTCTTTTTTTGTCACTGAGGCGATTTTCTCATAATAAAATCACGTTAAACAAAATATTACATTTATATAGAAATTATATTATGATTTTTATTAGTCAAAGGAAATTTAAAAAATGGAGGGGAAAGTAGTAAAAAAGGAGATCAAAGGTTGCCCACGTCGTCTTTTCTTGCGCACTAAATTCATCTCAATGGCCATCCTTGTTCAATTAAACATAGGGCAAAACATTATACACGTGAACACTTAATTACGAGCGATTTTATTTTGACCGTTAATTTTTTAGTTTTCTCTAAGTAGACTGCTTATGATTATTAAAACATTAGTATAATTACATATTTAGTCTTTAATATTTATAAATTCTATAATTTGGTCATAATTTTAATTCAATTTAATTAATTTAATCTCTCAATTAGATGATGACATGTATCACATCTGATTGGAGGGTAGTTTCTTAATTTTAATTTATTTAATTTATTTTTCACCCAATCATATGGAGACACGATGATCATCTAACCAGGAGATTAAATTTACTAAATTGAATTAAAATTATGATCAATTTGATGGAATATGTAAATATTCAGGACTATGTATATAATTATTTCAATTTTTTAACATTCACGTCAGCTCCTACGTTAAATGTTCACGACTTGACTCGTAACACTTAAATAATTAAGTGGTATGATTGGCAAAATTTAAAAATCGGTAATCAAAATAGAATCCTCTCATAGTTAAATGGACATAGTGTAGTTGAACCTTAATATAATCATTACTGAAAAGCCTTAAGGTTGTTAACCTAAAATGCAATTATAATACTAACCTTAATATTAATTTTTTACTTATCCAGCACTAGCCCCCATTATTGAAATTCAACACTGGCAACAAAATTCTAAATTAATAAATAAAACAATTAACACAACCAATTAAATAAAGGCAAGTTTTTTTGCACCAAAAAAAGTTAATTAACACCAAGATAATCAATAATATCTAGAATCACATCACACAAATGTTTCAAAACATCTTCTCTACGTGCAACCTCTTTCGGATAGATCAGCTTCGGATGCCTTCTAAACATGTTATGGCAAGCATTCGGATAATCCGCGGCTGCCATTACGTGCATGTTGGCATAATCGAAGAACTCCGAGGCAAGATCTTGAGCGGAAGCTCGAAGAGCATCACTGGCGTAAGCGTATTTGTGGGAGCATTCTTTTAGAACTTCCTTCAGTGCAGTGTCCTTCGTGGCATTGAGTGATTCGGATGATAAGAAGGTCGATGTCGCTGTGGCATTAGCCGTAGCAACTCCGACCAAGATTACGACCAGACCCTTTGTGTCCGAATCCACGCTTGTTGGATCGGATTTGAGCGTGGAGACACAAAAGTCGTAATACTTGGTGGTTTTGCAAGTTTTTTGGATTAAGTGGGCATCTCCATTGGTAAGTGATGTTAATGCTAGGGATATGAGGAAGAAAATGTAAAAGAAAGAGCCCATCTGAGAGTGGTGAGGCTCAAACTTCTTTTTGGAGAAGAAGGGAAATGGTGAAGATTTTTTGTGAATCAAAAGACAGAAAAGACGGTATTAAAGGTGAAGGACAGCTAATTTTGGAATTTTCTTATCATGGTTTTTGGATTTAATATATGTAATTTTTTGAAATTTAGTGACTGTATTAAAGAAAATAAATTTATAGACTATAACTTATCAAATATATGTAAATTTTTTGGAATAGTTTAAGGGGTTGTTTGATAAAATAAAATGATTAAGCGCTGAATGATTCAAAGGTTCTGTATAAATTGACTCTGAATATGACATGTTGTTTGATAATGGTTATAAATATACAATCTGAATTAAGAATATTTTCATTTTTACCTTCATAATGATTTATTATATTATAAGATATGATTGTTTAATAAGACAACTTTTGAAAAAATAGGTATTATGGTAAAATAACGAGTGCTTAATGATTCAGAATATACTTTAATGATGAATCATTAAGCAGTGTTTTATTGTTTCATTTAGCATAGTCTTCATTCAGAGATGAGAATCAAAAACGCTGAATAGTGAACGGTTCAACATTCAACGTTGAATAGTTCCATTCAGCAGTAAACAAACGGCCTCTAAGATTAGTATAAGATAATATTTATTTTGAATTTTTTAAATTATTAATAATATATATCGGAATCAGAAATACTTAACCCACATGATTTCATTTAATCATTAAAGTTACTTAATGGGTTAATTTTTTTGTTATAAAATTTAAAATCAATTCATTTATTATTTGCATTCAATCCCATAATTACTGTCGAATAACAAAATAATTAAATTTATATAAGGAAAAACATAATAAGATTATTACTATCTAAATCCAAATAAAATAATAGAAAAAGGACAAAATGGAATTCACGGGTACATATTAGGAGTATAGTAGAGGGTCTCCATTTCTCACTTTCACTTGACAGTGTCGTGTCCTCTTGAGAAATTGGAAGCCACATCACATGATCACATGTACCAATAATTGCACTTTCCTATGATTTTCTTTTGATTTATTTGGATTTATCGATATTTTAAAAATGTCTCTTAAAATTATATAGCAGCATGTAATATTAAAAAAAATAAGCAATCGATACATGGATAATTTACTAAAAATACTCTTCTCAAAAACAAATACATATCTCTCCAGTATATCCACAATAATGTACATTGATAATGGTTTGTTTCGGATTGAATTCGAAAAAAAATCATTTTTTTTGAATAATTAAGTTTTATTACCTAAAATGGCAGAATCCTACTTCAATACAAAACAATCATAGTATCAAAAGAATGGGGAACCTATGTACATGCAAAATTAAACTATACCCTAATGGTTACAAAGAACTAGATTTGTGCTATCATTTCTATTAATATTCCTATTACTTAGAACAGTTCCAACAATTAACTTAATGTTGTTGATGATTTCTTCATCACTTTTGCTTTTTCCCCTGAAAATCCTTTGATTTCTTTCCTCCCAAATGATGTAATTAAAACAGCACCAGGAGAGCCTCAAAATGGTAGAGATTAGAGACTTACCCTTCCATGTATTTGTTGCCCATTCGAGCATGCTGGACCAAGAAGTGGGACACCTGTTCAGTCCGAACAGATGGAGCAGGGAACTCCAAATAGAAGTTGTATGAGAACAAGAGGCAAAAAGATGATCTCTTGTTTCAATTCCATCTGAGCAGAAAGAACAACCAGCATTAAGAATAATCCTGAAACGTTGTAATCTGTCCTTTGTTGGTAGTCGATCCAGTATGATCATCCAAGTAATCATGCTATGCTTCGGAACATGAAGAGAAAACCAAATTAGATTATGCCAAGGAACTTTGTTGTTTTTGGGGTCGAATATCTTCCCAGATTTGTTTGGTGGTAATTGCATAAGACAGAAGCAATGTTCTAGCAACAGTTCGTAATTTCAAAATACGCCTTAAAATCTAGCTTGCATTTTGTGGTTCAGACATGGTCCAAAAATCCTGATTCTTGATAAAATTAATTTTAGTCCAGGCTACCCAAAGAGAGCCTTCTCCAGCAAGAATTTTCATGGTTAAATGAATCAAATTCGCACAGTTCCATGATTTGATATCCTTTAGACCAAGACCGCCTTCAGACTTTGGATTACAGATTTTGCCCCAGCTCACCCTTGCTCCTGCAGCTTTAGTATCCGAGCCTTACTAAAAGAATCTTGAACACAATTGTTCAATTTTCTTGATAATAGATTGAGGCAAGACAATTTGTCTACACCAAAAGTTAGCAACGCTATAAAGAACAGTCTTGATGAGTTCCATCCTCCCTGCAAAACTCATCTTTTTCCTGGACCACTGATGAAGCCTATTCTTGATATTGTCAATAAGGGTCTGACAGTCCTTTTCGGTTAGCTTCTTTGAGACCAAAGGGACACCCAAGTAAAAAAAATATTTTTTTACTTACTTCTAACTAAATTTTATCATGGGTAAAGAAAAATGAAGAAGAAATCAAGTGATAATTTCTTGTTATATATGAGTAAATATATTTGATTGGTTGATTAAATTATTTATTTTTGTTCTTTTATATTCTTTTAGATCATGGATTTGAGACCTATTAGGAGTATACCTTTTATTCTCCTAGAGTCTTCCATTCTTTTCCTCTCTAGGTAGGATTAACATTAAACTTAGAATTTGTCAAAAAAATTCTTGTTATACCTTTAGAGATATCTTTCGAAAATAATATCTTCGTCTATGATTAATTTAGAATCTATATTCTTCATATAGCTACAGTCCCACTATTAGATTTTTTTTACAGTCTCACGTGATTTATCAGAGTTGTAACAATCTTGTTTAAGTCCATCTACAAATAGTTCTTGACATCATAGGTCTGACACTAATCACTCTAAAATCTAGGTATTTACATATCGAGAAAAGACTAAAAGATGAGACTCTCTCTCTTTTCTCACTCTTTGTCACATATAATGTTCATCTTCTTATACCATCATTCTCTCTTTTCACATGAATCAACTTCGACTCACGACTAAATCTTCATCAACTGCGTCTTTTTACAATCAAAAAGGATAAATCAATAACAACTGACGAGACAAATTTACTTTCATCAACACTTTTATACACCACAATTCATCTCTAAAGAATTCCATCAGCATAGTACACAAGAAGTTTCCCAAATTTGAGGGCAAAAGCCGGTTAATGCCTTGATCGTTCCACTAGGATCAACAGACATGTTTTAAAGCTTGAAATGCATCAAAATTAAGCAATTTTGAATCCAACTGTTCCAAGATAACATTTAATTGCACAAATATTATATAAAAAAGTTCTTATGATTGAAATACATTTGGAGTTTCTGATAAGTTTTGATACTTTTTAAATTATTTTATTATTTTAATTGATTAGTATTATACGTATATAATATTTTTAATACTGCATATTTTTAAATAATTATTATATTTTTAAGTAATTAATTTATGTTCGTATATAAAATTATTTTTATTTTAAGAAGAATAACAATATCGTTATAATTATTTAATTAATATTTTGCAATTAAAAATGAAAGTGTTTATATTAAATACAAATCACAATGTGATCCATCAGCCACGTATGCAATTAAAAATGAAAGTGTTTATATTAAATACAAATCACAATGTGTTTTTATTATTTTTTATTAATTAAATTTTTTTAATTGTTATTTAATAGGTTTATATCACTAATAAATATCTAAATAGTCAAAACAAGTACATAAAGTATTTTTTACAACCAACTATTAATTATTATGATTTTATTAGTCACATAGTATATGCTCAAAAGTATTTTAGCCAAATGAGAAATACATACACATATACCCTGTAAACACATTTATTCAAATTTCAAATTTTTAAAAAAACAACACTTTCTTTTATTATTGAAATCGTCTAACGAACTCATCAACCACTAATCATTCATATTTAGTAAAAATAAACATAACCTTGGCGTAGCATTAATATTGGAGTTGAAAAGCAATGGTTTTTAAAGGCTGTACTGAATAAGTTTGTATGGTGGATTCATTACAGAAGTAGAAATCCATATTGGGCTTTTAGGCTGCTAGACTTTCTAAATTTCCACGTCTAATGATAAACAACAATTGATTATTTTGATTTAACCATTGATTTTATAAACATAACCTACCTTTATGTATAAGTTAAATAACATATAATTGTGTCATCACTCATAATAATTTTAAATTTCAAATGTATAACGTGTATATATTATTTTAAATAATTGATTAGTTCAACTATCAAGTGGTCTCAGCGGTAAGAGAAAATATTATTCTCCCTAAAGGTCTTGGGTCCGAACAGTTGTATCTACAGAGTGTGTTATGTCAATAGATAGGAAATATTACAAACAAATAATACCTTATAATCATCTCATATTATTTAAAAAAATCAAATAGTTACATTTTAAATTCTTCAAAATTCAATACATTAGACTTTAGATCTTGTTCTTAGTTCATCCTTCCGATTAACTCCTACAAATCTATTAGATTGTTAGGACTTATAAACGAAAATTAAAATAATCAATTAATTCGCATGCGATAAATTATTTTGAAACATCTCTTTATTTATAACAAGATATACACACATTAAACAAAAAGAAAACGTTTTTATACATGTAACACCCCAATTTGTGGGGTTAAATATTTTAATAGAATGTGGGGTTTAATGTATCAATCAAATTTGGTATTATCTTCAACCACCCCAGTCTGCACCTCAACCTCCACCCACCATATTTTGTATTATTTATTTCAATAATTGTAGGAAAATAAAGAATCACAAGTGGCTAAATGTTATCCTGAACCATGCTTTCCTTCTTAACATGCGCCACCAAAACACACCTACCTCCACCCCTCTTATAATTCTGCACTCACGAGATTTTCCAAAGTATGAACAGATGCAAGGACATAGCAAACAACCACATGGAGCCTTCGCACCGCCTAACACCGATCAACAAACTATAAGGGATCCAACCATCTCCTATCTTCATCTACTTGAATCTCCACTTTTCGAGGAGCTTCCT